CTCGTTACAGAATCGAAATTTGTAACCGTCAGAATAATTGATTTAACGGTTACAAACTCCGACATAACAGTTAACGAGACCATAACATCTCCCTAAAAATTGCATAGATAATTTGGACAATCACAAAATCCACATTTTATGTTTGGCCAATAAAAGAGAAAAGTGAACTAATTACTAAAGGCCTTTTGATTTAAATAAAATAGCGGGCCATCATTTAATTATTACTAATTATCAATGCATATTTCTATCCCAATTCGAACTATTTACTCCACTCAATAATAATAACTCACATGACCCGAGCTACTTCATCAAATACTATTTATTACTAGTATTTTATTATTTCACCCACAATCAACAATTCCAAAATTAATTGATTCAGAAAATTTAATTTTAGCATTATTATATACGAAACAAAAGAGACGGTCAAGAATTTCATGACCATAATGAGACTAACATAACAAAACAAACGTGAAACTATTGAAAAACAGCCGGGTAGTTGCAGTAAATGCAAAGACCCCCACGATCACGTTACAGACCATTTTGTCGGGATTTGTAATCGTTAGATCATCATGTAATCGTCAAAGATAGTTGATCTACCAGTTACAAACTTCAACGAAATAATTCCGTAACGAGGACTCTAGCATCTCAAAAAAATAAAAAAATAAAATAAAATAAGAAACAGAGCACAACGAAAGCCTCACCGGCGCCAGTAGCGTCAGAGACTTGACGGATTCCGGGTATTTCACGGCGAGCGCCAGCGCCAGAATGCAGCCGAGCGAGTGCGCCACAATGTGAAAAGACCCAACGTTGTACGGCTCCAAAACCGACTTCTCGATCATGTCCAAATGCTCCCTCAGCGTGTACAGCGAGTCCGTCGGCTTGGGACTCCGCCCGAATCCGAGCAGATCCACCGCCAGCAGCCGGTACTTCGATTTCGCCGCCTTGGACAAGTTCGGGTACACTGTCTCCGTCCAAAACGCCGACGAAGATATGAACCCGTGTATGAACACAACATCCTCTTGCACATTCTCTGTTTTTTTTTTAAGACAAAAATATAAGGATTATTAGTGAAAAAAATGGTTCATAATTTTTGTTGTGGATTCCTTAAAAAAAAAAAATACCTTTGGCTCCAGAGGCCTTGACGAAGAGCGTCTCCTTGAGAGACGAGCGGGTGGTCCACGCCGTGCACGTGCCGCAGTCACAGTCCGACCACCTCGGAACCGGAACCTTCTGTTGCCGGCCAATTCTCTCCCGGAGCATCTCGATGATAGTGGAGTTGTTGACCGAGAGCGAGCCCGCCCGCAAAGGGCGTTCCCCACGGCGGGCCATCCCGGAGGACGACCGGGAGAGCGAGAGCTCGGAGACCAGGGAGGGACGGGCGTAGAGTGTGTCGGAGATTTGCTCGAGCTCGAGTTTTGTGCTCGTGAGGCGAACGATCCTCGACTCGCCGCGCTCGGAGACGAGGATTTTGGCGCCGCCTCCTGACATGGCCTCCCGAGGCGACGAACAGTAGCACGGCTTCCACTCGGCCTCGGCTAGAAAATCGGCCACTCTGTACACGTAGCAGAGTACGAGGTCGAGGACGTCGAGGAGAGTGAAGACGATAAAGCTCGAGATTTCGTTCAAGAAATTTCCAGCCATTGTTAGAATTAGTTTGGTTTTGTGTACTACCACTCCCATTCTCTAAATCTCTCAATCTCTCTCTCTCTCTCTCGAGTACCTTTGAATGATGAACAAATGGCAGCAAAAGACAGACGACTTTTGTGAAAGAGGGACGATGATAATAAAGAGAGTTGGCGAGATTTGAGTAGTGATCAAAGGGAGAGTGTACGTAAGAAAGGGCCCATATGAGTATTTGTTTGGGTTCAATTCTTCATTGATAGCTGATAAATTTTTTCTCTTTCAAAGAATCGATCAGCTATAGTGAGAGGGAAGAAGAAAATGGGGAAATATTAAAAAGGTGGGGTGGGGATTTATTTTTTTGGGTAGCCAGCAGAGCTATGCCCCGACTAATCTGTTGGTCGACTCGGGTCACTTATCTGGCAATGGGAGAATTTATTTTTGAGACACGTAAACGGGTGAGGTGATAATTAATTAATAATGGGGTTACATTAAAATCTAGTAGTGTTAGTGAAGGGGGGGAAAGGAAATGAGAGGTTGGTGGTGGTTGAACCTGCTGCAGAAGAAATATTTACAAGCCAACACAGAGAGAGCAGTCTTGTGTGCATGCCAATTTCTTGCACATGTGTATTCTATGTTAATATGTGGTGGAGTATGGGTTTTACTATAATCATTCGTTTGGACAAGTAGAAAATCACAACTTTGCCATGTGGATCCGGAAACCGAAAGGTCTCTATACCAAAAAAAAAATAATAATAAAAATAAAAATAGGGAAATTAATTAATGGAAAATGTACATGGACAAGGAGTATCATCGAGTCTTGCAGCCTTTATGTAGTGGATGCATGAATGTTATTTGAGGGCATGGGGTGGGGATAACATCAACCCATATCGAAAATCAGTACGTTAGACAGGTCTGACGATTATGCAATTAGGAAAAGTCTAACAATTTGGGATTTTGAGTAATATTTTATTTTTTATACTCTAAGTTTGAGACTTTTTAAATTTTTTTTTTGAATTTAAGAAAAATAATTTGAAATCTTACTTAGGCTTCGAGGTGAGATTTTTTTTCTTTTTTTCTTACATGGTTTTTGTTTATTAAATTTCAACAAATGTTACAAAGTCCTATTAAAAACCAGTGTCAAATAGTTTAATACCTCGAGATTTGTTAAAAGTTTTTTAATTCTCAAATGAATACCTCGATACTTTAAAAGATCTTAAAAAATTCAAGTTAAATACACAAGGAAATGTATACGCCTTCCTAAGCTTTTTCAAATAATTTCACCCCCTAAGCTTTTCCAATAGATATGTATATTTTCAAACTAAAACATCATACTTCAAACATGACATAAATATAAAAGTATAACTTTCTAAAGTATAAATATGAGCTTTTGTTGAACAAGTATAACAGAACGACTCGCTAACGGACGTACAACCATATATAAGAATTCGGGATTGAAAATATATTATTACGATGCTAAAAAGGTTGGTAGGATACTTTTGAATACCAACGAAAATATCTAAGCAAATGAAAGAAATTATGAATGAATAACATAAAGTCGAACAACATAATTTTACACTCTTTTTAAGAAAATATATTGTGGTATATTACCAACGGTTTATGACTGACACCTCAAAAAAATACAATAACTTTTAATTTGTGTATAACAGTAATACAAATACACAGAACCTTCAATAGATACTACCATTGTTTCAAAACTCTCAAGAGTGACATGAGTACAAAGAATAGAAGACCGAAGTATGAACTTTGTAAAAGTAACTTGAAGTAAAAAATTATATGAAAGTCATGTGGTCTTTATAGATGTGTCGAAACGTCACCAGATGTATGTGTCTAAAAGACACCTTTCGGGACGTGCCTGGTGCGAAATAATGTGACCAAGATCGAGTTGATAATCTTTCGCCACCAATAAATAATTAATGCATCCAGATCGCATGCCTATCACGTCCGCCTATAGGTAGAGGTGGCCAAACGACCCGTCCAGACTCGACAGGTCACCAAGCCTAATTAATATATTGGAACCAGAACTGACCCAACGAAAGTACAGTCCCAGTTCTAAAAACCAACGGGCCCATTTTGATTTCGTTCCGCCTGTTGTTATGTGATTCTTAACAACGATGTAATTTATGATTAAGTGGGTAATTTGGAATGATTTGGACGTAAAGCATGTAAGATTGAATCAACAATGGCCCCGGTCCGAGGTGAACCGAGGTGAAGAGCCGTGATGGGCTTTTACGTGTTGCTTAGTAAAGTGTTTACAGTTCGGTAATTCGGAGAAAAAGAGATCCCTTTACAAATGTTATAGGCCCGCTATTTATAGTAATTTCGGGTTGATGCATTGGGATCTGTGTATGACTTTTTGGAATAAAGTTACTTTTTGTGGGCGGTTTGAGGCAGGGGGTCCCACATAAATGATGACGGATCTCGTGGAGCTGGAGAGTCACACGTAGGCGCCTTGTCACCTACTTAAGGAGGTGATGACCTCGGTTCATGTTGACCTCGGTGGATGTTGACCACTTCGGTCCTTGGTAGTTCGGTCCGGTCTGTCGCCTGAACCGGGGTGGTGTATGTAACAACGTCGGTTTAATGATCATCTTCCTTCTAATGTGTTGTCTAGGATCCCTTAATGCATGCTTACCGATCCGGATGTTAACACCGCCTATTCCAGGATTGGTTCCAGGAAGGCCCGTTTAATTTTTGTTGATCACTCGATTCGATTAACCCAAAGCACCGATCTAGTGCTGATAATAAGATATCGCTAAACTATTACAAATGGGTATGTTGTGAGGTATTTGCATAAAAATGAGTATAAATGAGGTCGAATAACTATGTATGTTTTTCACAGGTATTTTTTTCTGAACCATTTCCCAATAGATTCTTAGGACTATTTATAGCAAGTGTGGCGAGAGTGCTATTCCTTGGGCTATACAATTGTGCACTAATAAATGAAAATGATAGGTACTAAATGTTGCACATGACCCTATGAAGCTTTTGCGTAGGCGTACAAGCTTTTTATCAGACGTATCTCGTCTTTAATAATACAACTGCAAGTTGGTATTATTTTAATTTTTTCTACCTGCCTTATTGTGGTCGGCTTGAGTCTTAATACATAAATCTCACTCTAAGTTGGTCAAGTTTTGAACTCGGCTCTCCTGACCTGTGATCATTTGATCATATCCGCGTTCTTCGCTATCCGACCTGGGGGTCCTATTTTATGTTTGCTCAGCACCCGTCTGTTTCTATTCCCAGAGTTCGTCTCTCATTCGC